ATTACACTAAAAAATAATCAAAAGTTCATTTTCTTTTTATCATCTACTTAATCTTTTTGGTTATTTTATTTTTTAGCACCTCGCTTATCTTACCATCATCAAGATGTACTATTTTTAGTGTGCATTGTTTTAATTTAAAGTACAAGGAAAATGGAAGGAGGAACTTAACCAAGAGCTTGAGTGAAAACGAGGTATGATTGTTTAAATTTTCAGCATCCATAGGCAATTAAATTTCTTTCACTATCTACATTTGTTTTAAAAATTCTGCCCATTTCAAGTTCATAAAAATCAAATGTAGAAGGAATGAATGTACAATGCTATAATTGTGTAGGTTTTTGAAAGTTCACCGTCTTAATCAGAAAAGATTGGAAAGTAAACTGATGTAAGACAATAGGTTTGCCCGTGATTGCATAAAATGTGAACTGAAGTGTGCAACAATAACTTGGTTACTGAGACCTAACAAAATAATTTTTTTTAAAAGGCAGATGTGTTGGCTATTTTGGATTAGCATGACCACCTTTTTCATGCTTTCACTTCTTTGGTGTTGCTCCAGTGTTGATGGTATTGCAAAAAACTGAAGTAACACACCATATCATCTCCATTTTTCTTTCTTATTTATCATTATTATTATTATTGATGCTCTTGGGTCACTTTATTTTGTATCTGGATTTACCTTTTCTTTTAGCATACAAGTTGCTACATATATGATGTTGCCAACATGTTGGAATTGAAAAGAAGAAAAGAATAAAAAGTAAGTGTATATTTGTCATAGTTTTGAACTGACTCTCATGAAATCAAAAAAATATTTCATGTGGGACCAACTTCATAAAAAGAAGGCAAGTAAATGACAAAGGACATGATTATATTAAATATCGTAATTTTATTTCTATTTCTCAGTTTCTTTTTAACTATTTTTTCTTATTTAATTAAGGATTGTATTTTGAAGTACAATACTATAATGCAAGAAAGAAAGTATGTGTGTGCTTTCCTAAGTGTTTGTATGTATATGTGACTGACGTGTGTATGTTTACAACTCTTATTGCTTTTATTGTAAAGGCTATATTTGTGTATACTTTGAAAGTACAATGTTTTAATAAGAAAAAAGAATTAAAATAAAATTTAAAAAATTTGAAGAAATAGCAATGAAAGTAAGATATTATATAAGAAAAAATGGAACTACACTACTATTTCTTGCATTTAGCTCCTGATTGGCCTAAATGTAACAAGTATCAATGTAATCTTTCATGCCTTGCTTTTAGGCAATATCTATACATAACTAAAGACGATACCATGTCGTTTGTTTGCTCCAGATCCATTAGGAAACCTTCGTCCATAAAATGTTCACCATTTTCAAAAGATGAACATTATTTAGATAGGAAACTAACCGTTAAAAAGAAACTATTCGTCTCCCAACAAACATTATGTTATATAGATATGACATGTTTCTGAAACAAAAGTAGCTACCGGAAGAAAACTATTATCCGAAAGCAACTATTTACTGATTGTTGCATTGCCCGAGTAACCCATTTAAAAGGACATTTGGCCTAATAATATTAGAAATTAATAATAACAGATAATTTTTATAACATTGTCCAAATCTAACGATCAATTTTTTATACAACTATTTATCCAAAAATAATAAAACAATTTGCAAGACATTATCTAATAAATGTATGCATGTACGTTTGAATTTAAATGGTCATTTATTTTTATTTAGATCAATGATTTAAGTAATAATACATTTGTTCAGAAACCAACTTAAGGTGTGACTTTGCAGCAATGTTAAACCTCAAGTTTTTCTGAGTCTTAGCGAGTCACGTTGTCTATAAGGTGTGACATAAGGCGACAATTTTGTGTATAATTAATATTTTTATATGTTATTTAAACTATTATTCATTTTTATATACATATATGAGTTAAGACAATATTTTAATAAAGCTTGGCGGTAGGTACAAGCCTTGAAGCCATGACTAGCTTTTTAGAGCCTTGTAAAAAACAAAATACATTTATTTTTAATCTAGAACAAAACATTATTTTGAACAAAATACATCACCAACTTTTATATTAAATCTAAAACATCAATATAAACATTTCTGAATGACAAATTAACACCGAAAGAAAACGATTCGTCAAAAGGTAATTTATGTTTCTTGAAATATAACATATGTTTGCGAATGGAAATAATTGCCGCAACAAACTATTCGTTCCCATCGCTTAGCGCGGGTAAATGGTCAGTGTATATATATATATATATATATATATATATATATATATATATATATATATATATATATATATATATATATATATATATATATATATAATGGCATAAGATGCTATACTTTTCTTAATCATTTTAAATAAGAAAACGAGAATTCATCTGTTTATATATAAGTAAAATAATAAAGGCATTAGAATTTTATGATTCTATATTCTTTTTTTACCGCCATCAATATATCTGTGTGTATATTAAACCTTTTGGCATGTCATAATCAATAAGATATGAAAAATTCCCTAATTAAAACTATTTTCTTAATGCCTAAATCATGTTCATACACGTTGAGAATGTGTGAATTCGATATATATATATATATATATATATATATATATATATATATATATATACACTATCAAGAGGACACGCCTCCCAACTTGCTCTTGTTCCTCACTTCACTTTCTTGCAAAATAAAACGTATTGTTTCTCACACACAGAAACATAACCTTTTGATCTAACGATAAACAGAAAAAAGAATTTTATTTTAGCGTATTAAACATCGTGTTTTTGTCTCTATTCATTTTCTTTGGCATTCGAACAATGGAAGATCAACGGAGAAAAATGGAAAAGACGAGAACAACAACGAGGCTTATTCCAAAAAGAGGAGAGGTGAAAGCCAAAATTTGTCAGGGGTTAAAGAAGGAAGTGAAGGGTGTTATAGGGTTGTCGACTACTATGAAAAAACCAAGATCTTCATGTTGTAGCTGTTTTTCTTCATCCTGATCCTGATTCATCATGCATTCTTCTCGTTATTCACACTATATTTTTCTTTATATTTGTGTGGTTTGCATATCTAAATAAATTTGTTTGTTATGGGTTATATTTCTTGATCACAGTGGATGATCAAAAGTATATTCTTTTGTTTTAAAATTATAAATATAGTTTTTATAATCGTATTTAATATTGTACCAATCATACATAAGAAAGATAAAGACAATGTACAAGAGATGTCTTAGATCGATTCATCTCGACTGATACAAAAATAATCATTTTCACCCAGTTAGCCAATCTAAAATTCTATAACCAATATAATGTTTCTTTATCAATTTTCACACTTTGTATTGAGTATTTAATTTAAAGTAACACCAATTCGGCTCCAATATTCGATGATTAATGATAATGTGAAACAAAAGCTAAACTTATTTAAAAGACGAAAAAAGTATGTGGTTCACATTTGAATCTCAAATTTGAATATCGTTTTAATAAATTGCTGATTTTGCAACAAAAAATGGATAATAAAATAAAATACATGAAATTCATTTTTTTTCCTTTACATAAAATATAACGACTTTTAAAAAAATGGTTGTTAGGTGCATAAATTGCACCTTTTCATAAGCTAATTTCATGTTTATTTATAGCATTGCATTGCATTTTTAGTGTAATATTCATTCATTTTGCATTTAAGGACATTATCGAGGATCTATCGATATTTCACCATTTTTGTGGATGTTTCAGGGTGATTTGAAGATTGGAGCATGCTTAGGATGGTCAAGGGAAGCTCTCGGTGAAATTTCGGAACTTTCGAATCTAAATTGAAGAAATGAAGAAAATTGGAGATTGACTATCTTACAGTTCATTACACGGCCCGCGCTTTGGCAATGCATACGTTATGCGGCCGCGCTTTGGAAGTATTTCAGCACATCAGAGTCATTACACGACCGTGTAATTTTCAAGGCATACGTTACACGGGCCATGTAACGTGATCTGATCAAAATTTGAATTCTTAATTTCCGATTTATCATGTTCTTCTGGCATATTCAAACATAACTTCGACTTGGAACGTCAAGAGGGCGGTTCTGGAGAGTTTATATTATCATCTAACACTTTGGAAACACTTTAATTTGCTTTTTGTAAGTTGATTTGAAGATCAAACTAGTTGAATTTGTAGTTTCACTTAGATATGTGTGGCTGATTTCTAAATTATTTCTGATTCTGGATTCCTAAGTGTTTGTTGTTAAGTTGTAATTTACACTTGATTTTATGTTTATCATCTAGTAATCTTTGATTTGATCTTAATTATATGTTTGATTGGTTCTCTTTTCACTTGATCAACGAATTAGGGTTCTTAACAATCTAGTTAATCAAATTATGAAATTCGTATATGGTTTATGATTTGATGTTAGTAACATGCACTTAATTGGTTGTAATTAGATCAAAAATTAGTGTAATCAAAGATTAGATGTTCATATTCCCGAACTTATGAGGAATGTTGGATATTGTTGGTAATTGCTGCAAGATCTTAATGTCATTTAATGATTTCATGCAAGAGCTTGTTTGAATTTAATCAATTAAATGAAGTTTTATTTAAAGAACATGTTTTGAATAAAACATTTTTGTCAACTTGGGTATTAGAGCTTGTTAATATCTAAATTACCAACCTAGATTAAACATGAATCACCGTCATATTACATCCTGCAACATAATGCATGTATAGGAATCCGAATCAGAAATGTATTTCTTTTTATGAATTTAGTTTTCAATCTTACTTCTTTATGAATTTTAATTCTAGTTCAAACATAATCCCCTATTTTAATATTGTTTGTATGATGTGTGAGAATATGGCTAAATAAAAAGTCTCGTATTCCTGTGTGAGAATATCCCCTATCTTTAGTGTATGAAGTAGTAGTGATTTGAGTTTTATTGTTATATTTTATCCCATTATTTGTTGGTTTGACAACCAAACAAATTGGCGTCGTTGACGGGGATACGATAGTACTAATTGTTTATGCCAAGATCTTTTCGCACAAGTATACCTTCACCAGTTGATTTGGAGATAGAGAAATCTTCAAAACAAAAAAGGAAGCAAGCCAAACTTTTAAAGAAACAACAATTCAGAGCTTCTTCATCAAATCCATCAACCACATCTTCTCCAGCATCCAAAAGTATCACCCCACCATCTTCACCTACTCCTACCATGGCAGACAACCATGGAGGAAACCAAAATCCTCCAAACCCACCACCTGAACAAACCTTTAGACAGTAGGCCACTCAATATGTCACCCAACAACCTTTGTGCATAAATTACCCTGCAACAATCAACTTTGAACTCAAGTCTGGACTCATCCATTTGTTACTCTCATTTCGTGGTCTTGAGAAATGAAGACCCACATAAATTCCTTAAGGAACTTCATGTTGTCTGTGTGGGTATAAAGCCACATGAAGTCACAGAAGATCAAATCAAATTAAGGGTATTCCCCTTTGCATTACAAGACTCAATTAAGGAATGGTTATATGACTTACCACCGGGGTCAGTGGCAACATGGAATGAACTTGCAAGGATGTTTTTGGACAAATATTTTCCAGAGATGAGAGCTTCGGCCTTACGTAGGGAAATCATTGGTATCAAGCAACAAAAGAGAGAAGCTTTGCATTCTTATTGGGAACGGTTCAAGAAGTTGTGTTCAAGATGTCCAAAACATGGGATTTCAGAGTATCAGTTGTTGCAATATTTTTGTGAGGGAATGTCATCTTGGGATAGGAGATTACTCAATGTTTCAAGTGGTGGATCAATAGTTGATAAATCTCCAACATAAATCAGAGTTCTTATCAAAAACATGGCAGAAGAGTCCAAGCATACAACTCAAGAAGAAGAATGGTACAGTGATGCACCAAGGATAGTGAAGGAAATTTCTACTCCAATAATTGAGAGCCAACTGTCTGAGTTGACTAAAGTAGTGATGATGCTTGCTAAGGACAAGGGTGTGCAGCCCACACCCCGCCCTTATGGTATTTGCACTCAAGTAGGGCACCCAACCGACATATGCCCTCAACTTCAAGATGAGGATTATGAAGAAGCAAAAGCCATGGGAGGATTTTCTGGGTCAAATAAAAAAGGATACGATCAGCCACGAGGCGACCACAGATGGAACAACAATCGAGGGTGGGGAGGAAATCAACAGGGAAGTTATCAACCAAGTCAACAAAATCAATACCAACAAAGACTACCTTTTCCACCACAGAACTTACAGCCAAGGCAGTTACAACACCCTCCTCAACAAGCAGGTTCATCAAGCATGTCCTTAGAGGACAGAGTGAAGAGTTTGGCCACTATCACCCAAACTTTCCAACAAGAGACAAAAGCAAGTAAAAAGAACTAAGAGCAACAAGTTTCACAACTTGTTATTTCTGTAAGCAAACTAGAATCTCAAGGAAAGTTGCCCGCCCAAACTGAAACTAACCCAAGGCACAACGTGTGTGCCATCACTTTGAGAGGCGGAAAGAGCTACAATGGTCCAAAAGTGACGGTTGATCAAGAAGAAGAAGAAATAGTGGTCGAAGAGGAAACCAAAGAAGAAAAGAAGGAAGATAAGACAACCACAAGGAAGCCTTTCGTCACTGAGCCTAAAGCCACACCTGCTCCATTCCCCAAACGATTAAAGAGCACGAAGAAAGAACGGGAGGATAGTGAGATTATGGAAATGTTCCAGAAAGTTCACATTAACATCCTACTCCTCGAGGCCATCAAGAAGGTACCTAGATATGCAAGGCTCCTTAAGGATCTTTGTGTATTTAAAAAGAAATTGAAAGGAAACCAAATTGTAAAAGTTAGGGAAAATGTATCCGCCGTTTTGCAAAAGAGGATGCCCCCCAAGTGCAATGATCCCGGTGTCTTTACCGTTCCATGCAAGTTGGGGAATCTTTATGTACCTCGAGCCATGCTCGATCTAGGTGCATCCATAAATTCCCTACCATATTCTATTTTTAAATCAATCGGTGTAGGAATATTGAGCAAAACCGATGTGATCATCCAACTTGCCGACCAGTTAGAGGACATGTTAGTGCAAGTTGATGACTTTGTTTTCCCGGCTGATTTTTATGTCTTAGATATAGGAGATGATGACTTTCCAAGTTTAAGTTCCATACTTTTGGGTAGACCTTTCCTTACAACTTCTAAAACAAAAATTAATATCTACAATGGAACTTTAAGTATGGAATTTGATGGTAAAGTTATCAACTTCAATGTTCAATGAAGCAAAAAAGGTTCCTTCTGATGTTCAATATGTTAATCTTGTGAATATGATCCAGCCATTGGTTGAAAAGAGCTTAAACTTGATTAACCATGATTTTATGGAGTTAGTTTTTTCACAAAAATTAGACAGGGACAAAGCCAAAGAACTTGCAAAGGAGTGCGGTATAAGAGAGGATGTGTTGGAGATTTTGAAGTTCAATGATGATAAAAACATACGGATTGATGGAAGAGAAGTAGAATCACCTATTACCAAAGCCAAATTCCTTCCACTGGTAGAACAAGCACAAGATTCGGGAGCAAAAACTCCACCGGACCCTTTAAAGAATATACATGGCGTGCAGGTTGATGTATTGGAGAGGCCCACATATTTAGAATGAAGCACATTCAGGGGCTAAGTTGAGCCAACGACTTAAAACAATGGCGGCTAACCGGGAGACAACTCGGGGGTATTTTGGTCATATTTGTAAAATTTTCCTATGGACATTTTCTTTTAAGTTTTTGTGTTCCAAGGTTCTTAGAATAATTAGGGGAGTCTATAAATAATTTTTATGAAGATTGGAAGTGAGCGAGTGCGGAAATAAGAAAAATCAAGGTGCGTCTCTCAGAACATTACACGGGCCATGTAATGCATGCCTTTGCAAAACATGGTCGTGTAATGAAGCTTGATTCAGAATTTTTGGCGTTACACGGCCGTGTAACATTACTCTTGGCATTACACGGGCAGTGTAATGAGGCATGTACATAAAAAAACGATATTTCTTTAAGAATGTGCAGCTCCTTCTTTTCCTCATTCCAGTCGTGACTTCCCTCTTACTACCCTTCCTCACACACGACCGAACACACGCACATACACCTAAAATCTTCGATTTTCCATTGATTAAAGCAAGCAAGGTATGATTTTTCATTCCCCTTTCTTCTTCCTTACACTCAAGCACCTTCAAAACACCATTTTAATGGTGATTTTCATATTTTTGGAAGAACCCATGAAATTGGGATCCGAAAATTTTGTTTTAATTTCTTCAAATTGTTTGTAGGATAAGCTTGGGGAAGCATTGTGGAAGAGATTACAAGTGATTTCAAGCACCAATTTCGTGTTTCAAGCTCTAAATCGGGTATTCTCCTTTCGATTCTTTGACTTTGCATTGTTAGTCAAAAAGCTTTAATCTTTGTGCTTTAACTGTCAAATTGAGTGTTAATTGTGTGTTGGTCATTTAAACTGGTTAAGCATTGTGCTTTAACTCCATTATCACCTCAAGATCCTCCTTAATAATTTGTCCCGCTCTCTTCCCAAGCATCGAGGACGATGCATATTTTTAAGCTTGGGGAGGGATGTATCATAAATAATTAATAATAATAATAAATAAATAAAAAAGTTGCATATTCATTCATTGCACTAGTAAAAATAAATAAATAACTAAAAATAAAAATACAAAAATATTTTTCTTTTTCATTTAGGTTTTTATGATCATTTCATGAATTTTTCTTTCCTCTTTCTTCTCATCTTTAGAATGTCTTTAACTTTTTGTCACAATACATAGTGAAGTTCAAAGTTTTGTCTGCTTATACCCCTTATATATGTGGTGTCACTAATTTATGAAACTTTATAAGTATTGAGAACACACTTATTATTTCTATGTTTGCATTTCTTCATTTGCATTTGCATTCAAGCCCTAACTTTTCCGACCGTAGTGGAAAAATTTTCGAAAATTTTCAAAAAATTTTATTTTTTCTATTATCGTGCAACCCTTGATTTTTCCGTGCAACACCTACTGTGAAATTCTACGTCCGCCCCTGATTATGATACACCATGTTTGTAATGTTTAAACCATAAACCTTAAATCTGATACAAACTCGACGGAAAATAAACATGTTTAAGTAAATAGATTGAGACGACACAAAAAATAAACAAGTAAGTTTATGGTCAAGTTTGTTCAACGCGTTTAGTGTTTCAACACGACATGACATAACATGTTTATAAGGTCTAAATCCTAAACCTCCCAACTAAGCACATACTCGAATTGAAATAATCGTGTTGGGTAAGAGACCACAACTTGTTTAAGTAAACGAGTTGACACCACTCAATATGGAAATTAAACGATAAGATTATAGTCAAACTTTTTCAACCCGTTTAGTGTTTCAATCTAACTTGACATTAGACGTTTATAACGTCTAAACCCTAATCCCGACACAAAACAAAAATGGTTGTGGGAGATATATAAGCCCGTTTAATTAACAAGTTGACATTATACAACATATAAATTAAACGGATAAAGTTAATGTTAAGATCTTCCGACCCATTTATATTTCAAGATAATAAATTCAACATGATACCTTATATTTACATGTTTACCAAGTCCAATATTTATATGTATTTTTTTTATGGGTTTATTTCCTTTACAACCACTTACGAGGGCCTATATATTAGGGTTAATCTATAAACTTTCTTATTATGCTTTAATCAAAATTGGATATGTGGATTTTAATAAAATTCAGTTAAAAAAACCGAAAGATAAAATTTTCATTATGATAGGTGGCATATCTTTGGTTTCTGTTTTAATTCATTACATATTAAATTATGGTTTTGTTCCTATTTATTATTTTCTTTTCTTTTTCTAATGGATTTGAAACGGATATTTAAGCATATATGATTGGGATGCATGAACGATCTAACTTAAATTGAATTACCAAAGCATCATTTTTTTTAATCGAATCAGAATGAGTGAAACATCCTAATTATTTAATTTTCACATCGTGTTAACCTATTAGTAAAAGAGGTTGAAAATAATTTTTGGATTCTAAAATAGCAATTTCAGATTTCAGTGCGTTGGTGTGAATTTTTTAAAAATATTTGGGATAATAAAAGTACTTGTATATATTATATCACTAGTTGTGAGATTCGTGTATTACATAAGTTAATTTAAAAAAAAATAGTTAAATATAAAGGTTAAACTATTGGAGAATTTTGAATTTATAAGAAAAATAAAAAAATAATAATTTATTATAATTGAAATGTTTTTATCTTTTAAATTTAAACAAATAATTTAAATAAAAAAAAGAAATTAATAAACTTGGACATTTAAAATTAAAAGGTAAGCCTATTAATGAAATTAATATCCATTAATTACTATATTTATTGTAATTATTAAATTAAAATATTATATGGATTTTAATAAAATAAAAACTACATGAAAAAAAAAAAAGTAAAAAAAAAAAAAAAAAATCATTTATTATAGAGAATTTATTAAAATCTAAAATAGCAATTTAAATAATTGTTGTTTTTGGCTTTTTGCAAACATCGACTCCATATCCCCCGAAATTGAGAACCCGTTTCAACTTCGAACAATCGGTTCACGTCTTGCAGTTGCATACCCGAATTACCACAAAAACAGTCGAAAAAGAATTCAAAACAACCCCAAAATCAAGTTTCCTTCCGAGGACTGGAGAAGACGAACAGCGACACGACAACCTCTGTAAGATGGATGATTATACTAGAGAAATGATGGACCTGAAGACCCTTGTCACTCGAACCCTAGAAAAGAAAGGGGTTCTCGCTAAGATCCGAGTAAAACACATCTCCCTTTAAATTGTTTCTATTCTTCAATTCGTTTGGATTTCGGTTAAATTTCTTTACAGAGTTGCAATTATATTGGTATTTGACGAATTGGTTCAAAATGTTGTTGCGCTTATAATGGGGCGCATAGGGTTGTTGGATCGGGTGGGTTTTATGTATTTTATATCGTGTATATGTTAGATTCTGAGGTGATCGACCAAAATGTCAATGTTTTCTGCTGTGTTCATGAGTGTCTTAGGTGATAATCAAGCTTGTGATCTTACTTTTGTTTTCTTTAGTTTGCTAGTGTTGGGATCTTTCGTTGTGAAGTAGCTCAAATTTTCAAGCTATTAAGACTAATATTGTCCGTTGGACACGGATATTGCTGTTCATTATCTTTCAAACTTTAACATTTATTGAATAGTTATATAGAAAACTGCAAGTATTCAGGTTCAATGTCAACTACTTTCCCATTAGTTTCGGTCGAGAGTTTTGAGCTTTAAATGGAGGATTTCTTTAGCGAAATGATTCTCTTTTGTTTATTGGATGAAAACTATGTTTGATTTACAATGTGTTTAGAGAGGATCTGTAAAAGTATCTAACCTAATTTCTCGAGTAGGAATCTATTCAAACTACAAAGATATTTTCTTTTTTTGATCAATTCAATAATGGTATGCCTGATACATTTTGCATTGGTGAAAGGCTGAGCTGAGAGCAAGTGTATTTGAGGCAATAGAGGAAGAGGATAAGGCAATTGAACAAGATGAGGGCCTACCTCCTGCACTGTTGGGTAGCTGCAATGATCGTGCAAAACAACTACATGCTTCCCCTTCAGGTATCTTCTAAACTTCCATCATCAGAGTTATGTTCTCATGTTTCTTAGTTATTAGGGTTTCTAAGGTCCTGCCTTTTTCTTTTCTTTTCCACTAAGTGCTGTTTAGATAAAATGTTGTCCGCATAAATGATGTATAAAAGCTATTTCAGAAAATAATATCACACTTGAGGGAATGAGAGGAAAAATTAATGAGGCCAAATTTGTAGAAAGTTAGGAACTAATGGGGAAAACCTCATTTCCCTAACTCTCTATTAATTTGTTCTTTTCTTGCTGCATTATTGAGTATAAAAGGAACAACCAAGTAAAAAAAACAGCATTTAACTTTCTATCATTCTCATGGATATAATTGTTTAAGTATCAAGATCCACTTATTGATACTTAAACAATACTTTCCTTTACCAGATGTCGTAAAATCGATCAAACAATTCCCTTATTGGCAAAGTTGCAATATCAAACTTACCTTTTTGCCCTTCGGTTACCATTCTTGATGTGTATTTTAGATATTTTGTTTGGCATTTAACTCGTTAAAGCTTGATGTTTGTTTTTAAACTTTTAATATGATTTCAGGTCGGCTTCTAACTGCATTAATATGTGAATACTTGGATTGGGCACAACTTGGCCACACACTAAAAGTTTATTTACCAGAGTGTAATTTGGTAACCATTTAGTTTCAACAAAATCTTTATTTCTTCCATATTCATGAATCTCTGTAGTTTTGTTCAATCACATTTTCTTTCTTTTTTCAGCAAAAAGACGCATGGAAAACCGAGTTACGAGATTTCAGCAACAAAAATGGATATGACATAAACAGGAATGGAGATAGTGGTCCATTGCTGTTGGATGTACTTGAAGGGTTCTTGAAATTTGAGGTTTCATACTCTTTCCTCTAAAGTCTAAAGAAACAATCATATATAAATATTAAATAACTTACCCCATTAAGTTCATTAAGTCAAAAAGAAACAATATCTTATTATTATACTTACTTGGTTGCAGAATCAATCTCAAGGAAGAGGTAGCGGAAGGAGATCCATGATTCCGGAGCAGGATTCCGATTCCAGAAACCGCAGACCTTCTTCATCATCTGTTATTGGGGGATTAGCTCCTCTTGGAAGGTGATTGATTTTTAACTTCTTTACATTTACCTTTATCATCTTATTCTATCTTATTATTATTCTTTACTAACAGATGTTTTTTTTTTTTTTTGGATTCTAGACAAGGTTCTGGTTCCCAGGCATCTGGTAAGATGGAATTCGATTCTCATAACATTTTTACTTTTTGTTAAAATGACTGAAATACCCTTGTGATTGTTGTTCAGATCGAAGAGGTGGAGGGTCTTCGAACTCTAGCTACAAGAAAGATGATTACAATTGGAGATATGAAAATGATGACACATCAGAGGATATTAATCGGGCCTCCATTGCCTTGGAGAATCTTCAGTTGGATAGAAAGGCTCGAAATTTGACCACTTCTTGGCGGTTTGACTTCTTTAAATCATTCTTTCTTCATTTTATTATTTTTATTTTCGGAAAATTGCAAACAAAGGTAACATACTTTGGCCAATTTTAATTCTGCTGACGTGTCATTATCCAAATATTTTGTGTATAAAATGGAACGTAGTTTTTGAAAGTATGTTTGCTTTTCGTGAGGCAAAACAAAGTTCACTACAAAGAATAGAAATTTGGCCAAAGTACGTTACGTTTTTTTTATACAATGCCACGTCATCATTATAAACACATGGCATAAACCGGTTTATAGGTAAAAGTTTTTGAAAGTGATGTTTTTTTTTTTTTTTTTGTTGTAATGAATTCAGACATGGTGGGGAGGGTAGCAATGAAGATTGAAGGGTAGATGTGACATTTCACATGTAACTTGAACGAATCCAAGTACTTTGTAGCTTGTAGCATGTCGTTCTTCATATATGACTTATGAGAAAGTTGTTTCATAAAGAACGGATGTTTTTCGTGTTTTGCTTTCAAATGCTTTCTTTATTCATGTTTTTTTTTTTCTTTTTTTTTTTAGACTTAATTATGTATTGTTTTTTTGCTCTTCATTTCCAAGGCTGGATATGATTTAGCATGAAAACAAGTATTTGTGTGATTTAATACCATGGTTGTAATTTGTAAAGTATTTTGGTAAGTTTGTGTTTCTAGTATATGTTCGTGTAATCTGTTTTAGTTTTTACATCGTGTTCATCCACCTTTTGATCGACTAAACACAATAATGTTCAATTTAAAACATACAAATGATGCTAATAATAATTGAGGGGGACACTTTTATTTTTTATTCGTTTAATCAGTAATTTATAATTTATGTTCGGCGAGTTGATGGAATATTATAGTCATGTAATTTGGGAAATATAACTTTATAATTAATAAATAAATAAAATAGAATCACAAGTTTGTCTGTTTTATTTTTTAATTACAACTGGTTATTATTAGCATCCTTATTAGGAAAGTGTTGGCTTTGTCAAAACCCTACAAAAAGATTCAATCACATCTTCACTGATCACATCTCCACTCTCCAAAGATAAATTAATGATAGAGTCACGGCTGTCGACTAAATAAAGAATAATTTTATATTTTTTCTTAAATATTAAAATATTATATTTATTCAACTTAATTTGTTGTATCTTATCATTTATAAACATTCAAAATACCATATTTGTGTACATCTTTTTTTATAATCTTTTTAATTGTTTATAATCATTTTTTATATCCTAGTATTAATAATTAAAAATTTTAATCATATTATCCTCACGTCTATAATAATAGAACGTTTGTTTCTAAATTGTTGGAATATCACTCTCTTGACAAACTAAACGTTTCATCTTCAACCATCTTCACGGAATTTTTGTATTGATTGCTTAGTTTAAAAGGACATATACGATATTTTGATATTTAAGAAGGGTATATATGATATTTTAAATTTTTATGAAGGGAGACATCATATGAACAAACAATCGCACTCAGACTCCTAGTCGTCACTTCACATTCTTGAAATAGATGCTTTATTTTGAATGTGGAGCAACTCGGACATAAAATCGATGATACACACCTCTATCAATTAGATTCAGTCTAGTTGGAAAATGATTCAGGAAAACCCCACACAAGTATCTTAACTTTTATTGGAACAAAGTGATTCCATCTTTTAGCATCATTAGCATCTTCCAAACGAATTCATAACCAAACCTTCTAGTAGCATCTATTGTGAGTTGTCAAAATCCTATTATCCATTTATCTATAGTTTCATCAGGATGATAATTATTCAAAAGATTCAACATACATTTCAATTGAATTTCCCTCGTGCTTCCTAAAATAAGTGACACCATTTGCACCTCCATTTATCACCATGAATTGACTTGTTGACCATAGCCTAAAGTGCATTTTGTTCATTTACAAGCCGTCATCTCCACTTTTGAAGTAAGACATGGTTAAATGCCTCTAACATCCAATTCCAATTTATATTTTATCTTTACCAACTACGACCAATACCAATTTAATTCATTGCATATACCTTTTAATCTTACCAACTCCCAAAAAACGAAATTTGAAAGAATCCAAGTACTGTTTAACTTTGACTGACATTGGTAAAATAAAAAAACTAAGGTAAGCAACATAGAGCTTCCCCCAACTGATAACATCTTCACATTCTATTTAAATATTTTTTTCTCAAATCTTTAATTAACAATTTTCATCCTTGAACCCTAGCCAAAATAGATCCAACTGAAAGACCAAGATAAGTAAACAAGAGCTTATTCGATCCACATCATGTGAAACTTTCCATATGAACTCCAATGTCATATATATATATATATATATATATATATATATATATATATATATATATATATATATATATATATATATATATATATATATATATATAGGGTTAGGTTATATTGTTTCTAGAAATTATTGTGTGTCAGAATGCACAATTAGTGTGATTATATGGTACATGTTATTCTATTATAATATTTTAAATTAATTCAAATTTAAAAATCCGACTTTATTCTGTCAGAATGATAGAATGTCAACCATAAACTAGTAAATATTTTTGTCAATTTTATTCTGTCAGAATGATAGAATGTCAACCATGAACTAGTAAATATATTTTCGATTTTATTCTGTCAGAATGACAGAAAGACAATCATAAACTACTAAATACATTCTGAAAGAATACACAAAATCGATTGTTGAATTAATAATATACCAAATAATTACATTGTATGATTGTGATTCATTGAATAATAACAAGATTCTGAAAAAATAACAAGTGTAATTCCTAAAAAATAACAACATTCTTAATTAGATTGTATGAGTGTGATCATTCTTTAATTCATTCTTCAAGCCTTTCCCATTAGGTCTTCAAGCCATTCTTCAAGCCATTGCTATTAAAAATTTATTGCAAAATATTTTGTAGTGATACACTTGCAACAACTACACATTGAACATATAAACAATTAACTATAATTCTATCAGAATATAGCAATAAAAATTCTTACAGAATAAACTATTCTTGCAAAATGATTTTGAATATTCTATCAAAATCGCTATTTTACACCCGTTTATTGTTTTTTACATTCAAAATCCGAACTGAATGACATTTATACTAAAATGAAAACAAGCCTTGAGCAAGCATATTTACAGACTTCAAAAACATATTACAGCCTTATTCTCCAATTGAGAAAGAAAAACACCCCTACATGACGTGTTTATTAACATGCTATTCATAAATATCATACAAATTGTAACGACCCAAAAATCACGACTAAAAATTTATTTTAAAAACATTACTAAAACCATATTTATAAAAACTGCATCATAAGTCATAACATAATTTCCGAGTATTAATCCAAAACATAAACTTATTATCAAAGTAAACATTCCCAGGCTAACTGACTATGGTGTGTGCACTGAAACCTCTCCGAGCTCCTCCTTTGAAAACCGAGTACCTGAAACCAAAAACTAAAACCGTAAGCACGAAACTTAGTGAGCTCCCCCAAACTACCACATACCATACAATAACATATAAAGCACATACTGGACCTTGCCCACTGCATCGGACCGAGGTCCGGAAACTGACTGGGACCTTGTCCCCTGCATCGGACCGAAGTCCGGACTAACTGGGGCCTTGCCCCCTGCATCGGACCGAAGTTCGGAAACTGACTGGGACCTTGTCCCCTGCATCGGACTGAAGTACGGACTAACTGCATCGGACCGAAGTTCGGAACTAACTGAACATAGCATAACATAAACATATCAACTAGCATGAACACACATATACTGCATACTGCATCGGGTGGTAGCCTGGAACACATAACACATAAATCCTGTCTGAGCCACGAAGGCATCAAACATACTAACTACTGCATCGGACCGAAGTCCGGAAACTACTGCTAGCTAAACGGGACGACATTGTGGCCTTAGACCCGTTTCTACTGGAAGGAAACTCACCTGGTACTGTTGAACTCACTGGTAACCCCTCTGGATGCTGACCGACAATTTTCTGAACTGCTGATCCACTAGCTCCCGAGCTACCAATATCAAAACATATATCACTTAGCTTAACTGATCTCCAAAAGTCAACTAAGTCAACTCTGGTCAAAGTCAACCTTCCAGGTCAACCCAACTCGCCGAGTCTGCCTACTGACTCGCCGAGTTCATTAGCTCAGAATCCTTTCATTTGTGACTCGACTCGCCGATTCAGCCCATGACTCGCCGAGTTTACCGATTTCCAAGTCCTGACCTGTCCAACTCACTGAGTCCCCACTCAACTCACTGATCAGAGTCTTAACTCGAAGGGTTTGGGGTTTCGCGACTTGACTCGCCGAGTCCAAGGCAATCTTCAACAGACTCGCCGAGTTGTTCTTCCAACTTGCCGAGTTCCTGCCCAACTTCATCCAACTCGTCGAGTCCACCCATGTGACTCGCCGAGTCGCTTCAGTTCTTAATCCATTCAGTGGATTTTCGAGCCATGCAGGGGCTCCAAATCATAGATCCATACTTCCAAAGTCCATTCCCCATGCAAAGTTGCAAACTTTACGTATAACTAAGGAGATCAAGGCTCAAAACACTACAAACTAGGGTTTAAGACAAAGGGGCTTAACAACCAACCCAAAGACTGATGCTTTAAGATTTTCTAGGCCATAATACACTTAGATCTGAAGTAGCAACTTCATATTTGGGCTCCAACTCGAAATGATTCAAGGTCATGGCATAAAAGCCCCTAAACTCATAACCAAGATAGATCTAGATGCAAAGGAGGGAAGATAACAGCTTAATACCTCGAAGATGAACACAAACTGAAATAGTTCTCGGATCTAAACCTCTCCTTTGAAGCAACCTTCTTGATCTTCAATTTCCTTTCAAAGATTCCCTCCTCCAAAGCTATTTTCCCTTAAATGAAGGAAGCTCACATGAAATCTAGGATTTACAGGTTCTCTAGGATGATATAGAGGCTGAGGAAGGGACATAACATCCCTTATATAGGGTACAACCCCCGGGATTAGGGTTTCTCTCTTCAGACCAAACTCGCCGAGTCGGTCACTTACTCCTCGATCCGGATCCCACTCGGACTCATCGAGTTCCTCCCTGGACTCGACGAGTTGACCCTTCTACTTAGGGTTTTTCTTTCCTTTCTTGGACTTTATGATTTTGGGTGTTACACAAATCAATCATATGCTACTCCATTCACAACATTCTATGTAGAAAAATAATCAATGAATAATAACAAATACTTACATGTGCATCTGTAGACCATCTTTCATATTTAGGCATCTATAGATCATCCTTCCCTTGTAATTCTTCTTTTGCCTAGAGGATGATTTAGTATCAATTATCAATCATGTGAAACGACCCAAAAACACGACCCAAAAATTTTCGTTTTTCCATATAATCAAAACCATAACATAAGTATCATAACATAAAACATACGCGATGTATCCCCAAAACATAATAAAATATTGTGCGGAAAACTGTATCATACTACATCAATCCAAAACATCAAGAGACATCCCCAGGATAAAGCTATGCTGTGGTGTGTGCGATGCTGTCACCCCGAGCTCTTCCCTTTGCTTGCGGAAGTACCTGAAACCAAAACTGAAACTGTAAGCACGAAGCTTAGTGAGCTCCCCCAAAATACCACATACCATACAATAACATATAAACACATATTGGGCCTTGCCCACTGCATCGGGCTGAAGCCCGGAAACTGCATCGGACCGAAGTCCGGAACTGACTGGGACCTTGTCCCCTGCATCGGACCGAAGTCTGGAACTACTGCATCGGACCGAAGTCCGGAACTGACTGGGACCTTGTCCCCTGCATCGGACCGAAGTCCGGAACTAACTGCATCGGACCGAAGTCCGGAACTGACTGGGACCTTGTCCCCTGCATCGGACCGAAGTCCGGAACTAACTGCATCGGACCGAAGTCCGGAACTGTCTGACTGAACATGGCATGGCATAACACATCAACTAGCATAACACATATACGACATGCCACATCGGGCCGTGGCCCGGAACACATAATACTTAACACATAAAACATAGCACACAATCCTGTTCGAACCACGAAGGCATCGAACATGCTAACTGCTGCATCGGACCTAAATCCGGAAACTACTGCTAACTGAACGGGCCGGCATTGTGGCCTTAGACCCGTTCCTATTGGAAGGAAACTCACCTCGTAAGCTGGCTGCTGAGTGTGTGGCTCGGAAAGCTAACGGCGGCTGCTCCTGAATCTCCTCGGCTACAAACCATAGACACACTCAATCAAATACTAAACACTGCGCTTGGGGTAAAATGACTCTTTTACCCTTGGTCAAAGTCAACTCTCCTTTGGGCTGACTCGCCGAGTTGGGCCACCCAACTCGCCGAGTCCTACTCTCATTTTTCCCTTACTCACTGCTACTCGTCGAGTCTGGCATCGACTCGACGAGTACCCTCTTGATCCAAGAACTCAGACAATCTTCATCCGACTCGCCGAGTCGGATGAACAGACTCGACGAGTTGCTCTTGATCCCCAAGAAGATTGCCTTGGACTCGCCGAGTTGTATGAACAACTCACCGAGTCCCTCCATCACTGAGTCTACTCTCAACTCGCTGAGTCCACTCCCTAACTCACCTCGTCCACTCGACACTGATAAAACTGAAGAACTCGGGACTCGCGACCCAACTCGTCGAGTCGTTCTTCCGACTCGGCGAGTCGCCGCCATGCAACAGATTTTTACTTGATTTTGTTTGAATCCAATGCATACAATTGATAGATCTGAGTCCAATAAGCTGTTTTACCACGTAAAGTTTCCAACTTTACGTGCACAACCTCATGAATAAGGGAAACAAGGCTAAAAGATGCATAAAATGGGTAGATCTATGGCTAACATGCAATATAACCCCAAAAAGACAGTAGATCTGGGCTCTACAACACCCCAACATCCAGATCCATAGATATATCGACTTAATAAGACGTTCATGCAAGTGTAAGGCTTGAAACAAGCACCAACTAGCTCTTAGGAGAGCTCTAATGGAAGTTTAAAGCATAAAATAAGATGGAACTCCGAAAATACCTCAATAAACTCTTATTTGGCCTTGGATCTTTGCACTCCAACCCTTCTCCTTGCTTCTTCCTTCTTCTCCTTCTTCACACCTTCACAAAGAGGGCACCAAACACAAGTAAGCTCTTCAATGGAGGTTTGGGGCTCTAACACTGTGTTCTCAGGGTGAGGGAGGCGAGAATGGGGGCTATAAGGTGGTATAAATAGTGGGCAAACCCGGGGATTTAGGGTTTCACCCAGACGGACGGACTCGCCGAGTCCGGGATATGAACTCGCCGAGTCCCCGGCTCCCGCATGCACAAAATACGCGACCCAACTCGTCGAGTCCCTCTTGAAAACTTAGACAATTAATAATTAATTAACATACCGGGAACGGCTCGTTACATCATGGAGTTAAGAGATTAGTTCGTTGTTTGAGTAAGATGAAGTGCAATTAACCTTTTTTCTGAGCTTCGGAAACCATGGAAGATGAAATATCACTAGCTAAAACAATGGCGCCTTCTTTAGCCAAGGGAATAGAGAGCAATCGAGTGCCACATTCTGCATCGCAGATAGTAACGCTTCGTAGCGAACCTTCATCTGTCAACATTTTCATTACATTTTCCACTGTCTTTGCGTGTCCAATTCTTATATCTAATTGAACCTTATTTACATCATCGGTGTCTTCGTATATCTTCTTCCACCTCTGAAACCTGTCATTAGTGAAATACTCCCTCACAACATCCTTATCACCATCGCCAACCTCCTCCACCTGCAACTTCCGGTGCTTCTCGGGGTCTGCAAGTGAAATTGCAGCGACGATTGTTGCGACCGAGCCGCCTCTGATGACTGCCAGTGTTGTTCCATCAAATGTGTCGGCTCCTAGTGCGGATATAGTTAGGGTTCTTCGATTGTTTAGTTAGTAGGATTTAGGATTAGGATTGGAGAATTGGGTAGTGGTGAAAGAGATATTGTGAGAAAAAGGGCGGAGGAGACGAACGGGAAAGATGATCTACAGAATGTAATTAACAGATAATTGATACTAAATCATCCTCTGTCTTCAAATCGAACCCTTCCTCTTCAAGATTCGTGTTAAAGCTATCTCTAATCAAACATCCCTCAGTGTTCAAACTGAATCGAAACTCTGGAATATGAAGGTTGATTAAAATGGTTTAGATCGATGACAGTAGACGGAAATGATGGCAGGAAACGAAGGTGAAGGACTAGGTCAAATATATTTACTTTATTTCCATAATTATAGGATTTCAATTAAATGATTTCCTTAATTAAAAGTACAAAAGGTCCAAAATACCCTTTAATGATTTATTTAATTATTTATTATTTCTTGAATTCTCATTGGTGCATTTAGGCACACAATATTTGTTGGAAACATCTGAACCTATCTCTATCTTTTTTTTCTCTCTCTCTCTCTCTCTCTCTATATATATATATATATATATATATATATATATATATATATATATATATATATATATATATATATATATATATATATGTAACAGCCGGATTTTATCAGGTATCTTGTATATTGTATTTTTTTGTTGATTTGTGGGGGGACTTGGCGAGTTGGAGCTCATACTCGCCGAGTAGGGACGCGGATCTGGATGCGGGATCGCGCCTGGACTCGACGAGTTCAGGATATGGACTCGGCGAGTCAGCGCTGTGTAATGAAACCCTAATTTCTCGGGTTTGAGACTTATTTAAAGGGCCTAATGGCCGTCATTTGTGCTCACTAGCCCCTTGAGTGAAACCCTAATCGAGTGTGAGCATTTGGAGCTAAGTAGGAGGCCATTATTGACCTTGGAGGTGCCATTGTTGCAAGGAAGGAGAAGAGCTAGCCAAGGGAAAGCAAGAGGAGCCACTTCTGTGGGTTTGGAGTCCAGAGCATCACTTTTGTGGTAATAAATCCGAGTTACCTTCTTCCTTGTTGTTGTTTATCTAGATTTAGGGTTTGTTGAACCCTTTTATGGCAAGATCTAGTGTCCTCTTGGTCCCTTATGAGGTTTGAACCATAGATCTGGACCCTTAGAGGTCCAGAGTGTCCCTTTACCCAAGCTTTTTGGGAATCAATGGAGGCTTTGGATTGGAATCCTCATGCCTTAGGTCAAAAACTCCATTTATGAGCTATGGGGTGTGTTATGGGCACCAAGATAGGAGCTTTACGTGATGAATCAGTCAGGGAGGCCAGATCTATAGTTTTGGAAGCAGATCTGACCTTAGAAGCAAGTTGGAGTGGTTGCATGGCATGGACTCGCCGAGTCTGTTCATCCGACTCGGCGAGTAGCTTGAAGATTGCCTTGGGACTGCTCAGCGAGTGGTCCAATCGAGTCATGGGTAGACTCAGTGAGTCAGGGTGAGTTGGAGAGGGATGACGAGTGGACTGAGTCAAACTTGGACTCGCCGAGTTGTCCTTGAGACTCGGCGAGTTGAGTCGGGGTGGCCCCGCGATTCATTCAGGTGAAACTCGTCGAGTAAAGGGGGGAATACTCGACGTGTAGTAAGGGGATTTCAGAGGGTTGGTGAAAACGTCTAGACTCGCCGAGTCGCCATGGTACTCGCCGAGTCCGGTCAGAGTTGACCGTTGACCAGAGTTGACCTGTGTTGACTTCTTATGGATAGTCAACCTTAGAGATATAAAGTGTTAATTAGAAACATATAATGTTATAGGAGGATTAGAGCTCGGAGGATCGAGCACGAGGGATTTCCAGGATTCGTGAGATACCGAGATACGCGAGGTGAGTCTTCTCACTATACTATATTACCTTGAGTAGGTAACCAGAGTTATGTGATAGAGTATTTGTATGCTATGTATGTTATGTGTTGTACTGCATTATTTCTATGTGATTTATGTAGTGCATGTTTATCAGAGCTAGAACCTGAGGGTTCACAGAGTTTGGGTGCACGGACCCACAGAGTTATAGCCTCGAGTGGCTAATATGTGTATATGTGGTATTTTGGGGAACTCACTAAGCCTTGTGCTTACAGTGTTTGATGTTATTGTTTCAGGTACTAGTGACGACCGCAGGAAGGCGCCGGCTTGATCCGTACACACACACTCGGAGTTTTTACATTGTGATCTTGGGATTTTGTATTGACCTATATTGGATAATTAATATGGTTGTTGATGAATATTAATCGAATTTTGTTTTATAAGAAAATCGAAAAATTTGTTTTGAAATTTACAGTGTTACAATTTGGTATCAGAGCCTTGGTTTGAGGGATTCGGGTACACCTTCGGAGTATTTGAACTCAAACTGAGGAATTGGAAAGATATTTTCAAAAGAAAACCTAACTTTTCTAAGAGTAAAAGATTTTCTTGAAAAAGAAACAAATTCCAGGAAGAAACGTGTGTACGATCAGTCAGCGCCCGAACGGTGAATTCCCAAAATACCTTTATATTACATGATATTAATATTGATATGATGTATCTGCATGCTAGAGTAGGCTAGGTATTGCTAATAGGACTAGAGTGGCCTGATTTGTGATGCCTTAGCCTAGGGAGGGGTGAGCTGCTATGAGATGCTGAGAGTGAGTAGGTAGCAGCAAGGGGCTTATGAGAGATCTATTAGAGAGTGGTCTACGCATGATAGAGTACTTGGGAATTGGGATCCGAAGAGGAAGGTTTGGGGTGTGTACTGAGACGGTGTGGACAGTAGTATTGGGCCCGTACTACTGAAAGCACCGGGGCAGTACACAGTCCAAATAAGAATCTTTGGATACCAAGAATCAAGGAGGGGTGGATTGTCGAGTGTAAGAATGTTCGAGTGAATTCTAATTTATCGCATGTTGTATTTCAGAGGTTGATCATGGTGAGGACACGTCATATGCCGGAGGGTGCCGGAGCTAGTGATGAGGAGAATCGACAGATCATTCATGAGGAGGTGGTTGTGGTCATCAGAGCTGAGATACCAGAGATGTTCGGGTCTGTTAAGACCGCGCTGATTGAGACATTTGACGAGCGTTACGCCGCTCTTTCTGAGGCTGCTGTTGCAGCGGCTACCGCAACGATCGCTGCGGCGAGACCCCAGGGAGGTGATGCGTCACTGTTTCGGGAGTTCAGCAACACCAAACCACCAGAGTTTGATGGTACACAGGATCCGGTGGCAGCTATGAGGTGGATATCTGATATGGAGGGGTGCTTCTTCACTTGCTCATCTCCTGAGCATCTGAAGGTTCGGTTCGCGCTGAACCAGCTTCGCTTGGGAGCGAAGGACTGGTGGAAGTTTGTGACGGCGCATTTCACGCCTGCTGAGCTTTCGGCAGTGACCTGGGAGAGGTTCACTACCATGTTCCGAGATGAGTACGTTCCCCAGGTGGAGAGGGAGCGTTTGGCACAGGAGTTTCTGACCCTCAAGCAGGGTACTGAGTCAGTTACAGCGATCACGAGGATGTTTCATGAGAGGGCGATGTTCTGCCCTGAGCACGTGTCCACTGAGCAGGCACGTATGAGCCGCTACCTGAGCATTTTGAGACGGGATATTCGGGAGTTCGCCGCGAACTCCTCGTATCGGACATTTGCTGAGCTTCAGGAAATGCCCGGAAGAGGGAGATTGAGCTTGAGACTCAGGCCAGGGAGGAGGCGGAGTCTCTGGGGAGGGATCGGCGGCCGGCACAGCTCCAGCCGGCAGCCAAGCGGGCCAAGCCCGCTGATCCCAAACCCGGGAGCCAGAAGGGCCGCACTTGCGGGAAGTGCGGCAAGGGTCACGATGGAGTCTGTCGAGCAGGATCTTGCTACAAATGTGGCAAGGAGGGGCATATGGCCAAGGACTGCCCCAAGGGGTTTGCAGTGTGTTTTCACTGCAACCAGACCGGACACCGGAAGGCGGAGTGTCCGCTGCTGCGCGGAGCATCTCAGGGATCTGCTCCCGCCGCCATCAGAGCTACAGAGAGTCGGCCCGTGAAGGCCGAGGCACCGAGAGCTCGAGGGAGAGCCTTTCAGCTGACTGCGGAAGAGGTCCGCGCTGCACCCGACGTTGTGGCTGGTACGTTTCCTTCTATATATTTATTTTTGGTGTTGAGATATTATGCTTATATTATGTTATGCATAGGTACCTTCCTTGTGAACTCTGTGCCTGCTTTAGTGTTATTTGACTCGGGTGCGAGTCGGTCTTTTGTATCTTTGGCCTTTAGTCAGCATATCAGTGTTAGTCGTGAGGCATTGAGTCGGCCTCTGCGGGTTTCCATAGCTGCCGACAGAGTGATTTGTGCCACGGAGGTCCTCCGGGGATGTGTGTTAGAGATTTTTGGGGTTGAGTTTCCGATCGATCTGGTTCCTATTGCGATGGGTGATGTTTGTGTCATAGTGGGCATGGACTGGTTGAGCCGATTCGGCGCAGTTATCGACTACGAGCGTCAGCTGGTGACCATACGAGATCCTAGTGGGGGAGTTCTTTCGGTATACGGCGAGGGTACACGTTCTGGATCAGCCTTTTGTTCGGCCGCTAGGGCGAGGCAGTGTTTACAGCAGGGCTGTAAGGGTTTTGTGGCGTATGTGATGGATACGCGAGTGATCTCCGAGAGACCGAGTTCAGTGGATGAAGTTCCGGTGGTGCGTGAGTTTCCAGATGTTTTTCCCGAAGAATTACCGGGTGTGCCTCCCGTGAGGCAAGTGGAGTTCAGTATCACTTTGGTTCCGGGATCCGCGCCTATCGCTAAGGTGCCTTATCGTCTTGCACCTCCAGAGATGCAAGAGTTATCCTCGCAGCTTCAGGAGCTGCTGGGGAAGAGGTTTATTCGACCGAGTAGCTCGCCGTGGGGAGCACCCATTTTGTTTGTGAAGAAGAAGGACGACTCGCATCGAATGTGTATTGATTACCGTGAATTGAATAAGCTGACGGTCAAGAACCGTTACCCGTTGCCGAGGATTGACGATTTATTCGATCAGTTACAGGGAGCATCTTGGTTCTCCAAGATCGATATGAGGTCGGGCTATCATCAGGTGAGAGTGCGGGACGAGGATGTCCAGAAGACAGCATTCAGGACGCGTTATGGGCATTATGAGTTTGTGGTGATGCCTTTTGGGCTCACCGATGCCCCGGCTGTGTTCATGGACCTCATGAACAGGGTATGCAGGCCGATGTTGGATCGGTTGGTGATTGTATTTATCGATGATATTCTGGTATATTCGAAATCTAGAGAGCAGCATGAGGAGCATTTGAGGGAAGTTCTTGGAGTTTTGAGATCGGAGAAACTTTATGCAAAGTTTTCCAAGTGCGATTTCTGGTTGCGGGAGGTCCAGTTTCTGGGGCACCTCGTTAATCAGAAAGGGATATTGGTCGATCCGGCCAAGGTTGACGCGGTGATGAGATGGGAGGTGCCAAAGTCACCCTCCGAGATCAGGAGCTTCCTTGGGTTGGTAGGGTACTATCGGAGGTTTATTAAGGATTTCTCCAAGATCGCAGTGCCACTCACCAGATTGACCCGGAAGGGTGTTACGTTTTTATGGGGTCCCGAGCAGCAGACCTCCTTTGAGACGCTTCGCCAAAGGTTGTGCAAAGCTCCGGTATTAGCTCTTCCGGAAGGGATGGAAGATTTTGTGGTATTCTGTGATGCATCGATTTTAGGGCTGGGAGCGGTGTTGATGCAGAAGGGACATGTGATAGCATATGCATCGAGGCAATTGAAGCCTCATGAGACGATATATCCCACACATGATTTAGAGTTGGGGGCAGTGGTGTTCGCTCTCAAGATTTGGCGACACTACTTGTATGGGGTTCGTTGTACGATATACACGGACCATAAGAGCTTGAAGTACTTGATGGATCAGCCTAACCTAAATATGCGGCAGAGGAGGTGGTTAGATGTGGTCAAGGA